CAATTTTACTTTTTTAATATTTATATTTAACAGAAAACTTAACAGAAAAATAAAAATACACTGATTCCGCTAAAATAATCCTAACTGTAAATGTTCGTAAACCTGTCTCAGTATGACCTGTCAAACAGTGTGGAGGGCGAAATTACACCCCGCAGGCTAATCTGGAACTTTCTGCAAGGCAAATACTGTACACAGCAACAGGTGAGACCCTAAAATAGCACAGCGCTGCTGTGGGTATATGTGTGTATGAGTGGTGGGAGGGAGGGAGGGGAGCAGGGGTGAGGAGGGGAGACAGATACACTACACCAGGACACAAACAAACACTGGACTTCTGCCGCCCTTTGACTAATTTTTCCCCCCAGGTAAGACCGTGTGAGTGTGTTCGCCTTCTGTTAGCATTAACTCTAACAGACCTGGGCTTAAAGATACAGTGTCCAGGAATTAGCGACTGCTTATGAAAAACAATATAAATATCAGCCCAACGTTTTAACGTGTAGCTGACGTGTGTGCGTCATCAGAGGGATGAACGCTGCTGATGTGTCAGATGAAGACGATCTCCTGGACTATGACCTTCAGATGATGATCCAGGAGTCATGTCAGAGGGAACAGTCCACAGGACCAGGCAGGTACATCCCCGTCATCACACCGCAGTTTGAAGGCATTCATGTAGTAATTCATGATCCCGTGTTTACGTTTACATATTTAGGGCCGAAACCATGAAGGTTTTCAACGCCATCGAGGAAGGTAAAAAAACGCACACAGAGTTAAATGACCAATGAAATTAAGAGTCACATCTAATTGGTTTGTGTCTGCTCTCTTTTTGACTTTTGGTAATTTAAAATCTTAACTATATCACAGTCCAAATCAAGTGTTTACTGCAACAAAAATGACGCTTAATATTACGTGTTGAACTCAAATGACTTCCTACACTTTAATCCAGTCATTCATTTATTAAAGTTACTTCACTCAGCTCATCTTACCTGTGACGTCACCGTTGACCCCAAACTAAAAGTTCTTTTCCGTGCAGGTGACTTGTTGGCTCTGAATGAGCTCTGTGATTTCCCAGCAGCCTTCAGTCAGGTGGATGAGAATGGCTGTTACCCTCTGCACAGGGCAGCAGGGCGGCCGCTGCTCTCTGTTTTGGAGTTGGTGCTCTACGGTGAGTGACAGGTGTTTCTGCCAGTGCAAATAAATACATAAATACAATATCTGTCAAAGTGACAGAACTCACGTTGATTCTGCTGGAGTGTTTTTTCAACTTCAACCTTACTTTTCCAGCACTAGGTGGCAGCAGAAAGTGATTTTATATAAATATATATACAGTCGTCCCTCGCTGTATCACGGTTCACCTGTCGCGTCCTCAGTGTATTGTGTTTTTTTATACATTTTAAATGTATTCTTGTATTGTGGATTTCTTGCTCTTTCAAGGGTTTTTGGGGTATATACAGTTTTTTTTAATTTCCAATATTTTTACTTCAAAAGAAAAAAAACCCATAACAATACCAATGAAAAAACTTAATTGAAAGACATTTTGTAACACAGATACAGGGTATTGCAATAACGTACGGGTAAACCAGATTCGTTAAGTTTTTTTAACCATATTTCACGCCCTAAAAAATATGACTGTCACGTCTCTACTTCGTGGTTTTTCACAGGAGGTCTTAACCCTCGTGATAGACGATGGACCACTGTACTTGATGATACTTTATCTTCACATCTTCCTCTCCTGGCTACTCCATCTCGTCCATCCTTTGTCGGACATTCTCACTTTCTCTCCTCAGCACATGTCCAAGTGGATGAACTGATGATTGACTGAAACAGCGTGGCTGACCATGGTCCCAGTGTTGTTCTTTGTTTCTCCCCCTCCTCCAGTGAGTGTTTACGTGAAGTTGCTGCAGTTGTACAAATCTGACTGGTGGAGTAGACACTTCCTGTCCACCTGTCAACTTGTCTGTTCACACTGTGTGAGACTGAAGTGATGCAGCGTTACGCTCTGTGCCTTTAAATGTCTGATCGTGACATGCTAGCTTGTTGACGTGACAGGACGGCAAACAAAGTCTTCTTCTCGTGGTTGAAGACGGCAGTGCCTGATTGCTGAATGTAAACACACAGAAATGTGCATTTCTTTGATTTTTTCAGATTTGTTTTTAACTCTTTACAGCAGTGATACTCAAACTGAAGGGAGGGGCCCTCTATGGGCACATCTAAATTTCCATTTTTTTCTTTAATTGTGTTTTTTGTTTTTTAAGTAAATATCAATCATGTTTGAGACAGTAGATGGGTTTGTGACAATTGGAGGGGAGGGGGCTTGACATTAGTCTTTTCTAAATAAGGCGGTGCTTCATTGGCGTTTGTTTTGAAAATCATCTTCCTCCATAAAACAATGCCCCGTGTGAGGCTCGAACTCACGACCTTCAGATTATGAGACTGACGCGCTGCCTACTGCGCCAACGAGGCTTGTGGGGCACGCTATCTGTGGTACGACTGAACTGACTTTACATGAGCAAGGCATTAAAACAACACTTCTGACTTCTTCTGACTCTGGTCCTCTGACTCTGGTCCTCTGACTCTGGTCCTCTGACTCTGGTCCTCTGACCAGACCATGAGTACGAGCTAAAGCGCTACCATTTCACCACAGTCACTGAAGTAGGACTGTGCTTACGTCTCAGCTTCTTTCAGCCTGACCCTGGAGGAGAAGACAGCAGAAGGTGAGACCTTCCTCACATTAGCAGTGAAGGCAAATTTGGTGGAGAATGTGAAAATGCTGCTGGAACACGGAGCGTCTCCTCACACCACCAACGGAAGGAACCAATCTCCACTGCTCTTAGGTTGGAGTCCTGTTCATGAGCAGTTGACTTTTACTTTTAGGGGAATTTCTCACCTGGACTGGACTGCTGTGTCCTCCCACAGCGGTCCAAGCCGGCTCTCCTCAGGTGGTCTCCTGCCTCCTGGCTGCAGGAGCTAAGGTTGAGCAGGTGTGTCTGAAGAAGTGGACAGCCATGCACGAGGCCTCCAGGGGGGGCTGCGTCCACATCATGGAACTCCTGCTGCAGAAGGGAGGACGGGTTTCAGAGACAGACCAGCATGGTGTGACCCCTCTGGGCATCGCTGCAGAATACAGCCACCCTGATGTTCTGGAGCTGCTCATCAAACATGGTAAACTGGAAAAACTACAATTTGCTCATTTTTGGCTACGCTTTAGCTTATTTTATATTTTTTGACAACTTATTTTTTTCCAGTAACTAGTAAATAATAAAGATGATTTTTAAAAGAGTTGCAAACCACACAGTATTCACGTCCTTACGTGTTTTTACATCTGGGTCCATGGAACATGACTTTGTTTTCTCATTAAGGAGCTGATGTAAATGCTCAGGCCCCCAACGGCGACAGCGTCCTCTACGATGCTGCAGGTTCTGGGAATCCCGACTGTATTGACCTCCTGCTACAGCACGGAGCAAATCCCAACGTCCAAAATCTCAGCTTCCAGTTGCCAATTCACCGAGCAGCGTATGAGGGACACCTCCTGTGAGTAGGTGGACCGTACAGGAAGTCTTACTTCATCTTCAAACAGCTAACAATATATGAACAACATAAAACTATTTTAAATCCACACACTCACAGAGAAATCATTAAAAAAAACTGATAATCATACGTACCACTAGGGGGAGTCCAAGTACAACCAGTGATGCCCATACCACAATATTAAAAGCCATGATGTAATCTCTGTGTTCCCTAGAGCTTTAAGAATTTTGATCCCCATCACCACTCGACGTGCCCTGAGGTTGACGGGTCAGAGCCCGGTCCACTCTGCTGCTGATGGAGGCCACGCCCACTGCCTGGAGCTGCTGTTGCAGAAGGGTTTTGATGTCAATGCCATTTTAGCCCCACACATCTCTGAAAACTATGGCGATTTGAGGAGAAGCCCACTGTACTTCACCGTCTCCAATGGAGATGTGACCTGTACCGACCTGCTGCTGAGGTCGGGGGCCAAGCCCGACCTGGATCCGCTGCGCTGCCTCCTGGTGGCCGTTCGGTCGGGACGCTACGAGATTGTGAAGCTGCTGCTGGCAGCTGAAGCAGATGTGAACTGTTACTTCACGGCGGTGAACGACACAGTATTTCCTACAGCTCTGCAGTACTGCCTGAAGGACGAAGTGATGATGAGGCTGCTGCTCAACCACGGCTACGACGCCGAGAAGTGTTTCCTCTGTGATCACCGCGACGAGTTGGACGAGTCTGGGTACTCCCAGCAGCAGGAGGACAAAGTCACTGTGAGTTCTACTCCATGATGATACTGCATGTACGCACTCTGATCGTACAACAAATATATACTGCTCTCTCTAATGTTTTATAAAACAAAAAAATAGGTAGGTATACGTTTTTATAAAATGTTTAACATTTACCTTGTGAAACTCTCCTCTCTTGTCAAACTGATGTCCTGTCTCGTGCAGTTCTGTGAGTTCATCAGCGTCTCCTGGCTGTTGAACCTGGTGGGCCGGGTCGTGTCCATCCTCCTGGACTACGTTGGTCAGGTTTCTCTCTGCAGTAAACTGATGACGATGCTGGAGACACGTAGAGAGTGGCCGCACATTCACAGGACCATAGGTGAGTTAAAGAAGTGGTGCTAAACCGCTGGACCCCAGACCGGGACCAGGTCATGGATCGTTTGTCTAAAGGCCTCTAAAAAACAAAACTAAATATATAAGACAAAGGAAAGACAAGTTAAATGCATAATAAAAGACAGATTAGTTAGATAGTGTGTAACCACTGTTTCCTGTGTCACAGGAAGTCCTCGTTCACTGTGTCACCTGTGCAGACTGGTGATCAGGAAACACCGCAGCTGCAGAGACCTGACGTCCAGCCCACTGCCCACCAGGCTGAAGGACTACCTGCTGTTCAAGGAGAACGACCTGTACTCCAGAATCATCTGCAGGGACGACTGAGGAGACGATGGAGAGGACGGCTGTCCCTGACTCAGGCTCAAACATAAGCACTGTGTTTTATGTATCTTTTATTTGTATAAGTCACTCTCAGAGTCTTAATTCTTAAAACCAAACATGACGACGGAGTGAACTCACTAAAACCAACAGTATTACAAGTCGCTGGTGCTAGACCTCAGTGTGCAGATATGGACACTGTCTTTCTACTGTCTTGAGTTTTTCATTTCAAATTCAGTAGTTTGGGTTTTTGTTTCTAATCTTTACATCCGCCTTTGCTATTGTGTGTTTTTGTAAACTGGAAGATTTAACAAAGGAATGGACTGTTTCAGGTAAACTCTAATGTTGGTGTAAAATTAAATGTTAATGTATCACAAACACTCTACACAACAGAATAAAAATACACACACAGATGCCACGTATCTGCAAAATTATTGACAGAAATAATACTTTAAATTAGGGAAAGCATAATTATGTA